GAATAGTGGGAATGAAATCCTGGGAGTATAGCCCTGGATACATCGTGACTTATACTGGGAAAACCGGGAATTCCCACCGGGGAGTCCCTAGGGCGGGGGATCCCGGGAGGGGAGCCCGGGGCTCTCCGGGTGCCCGGGACAGAGCGGGGGAGCGATGGGGTCCCCACCCGGTGCGGGGTCGGGGGGCTGGGGATCCCCCCAGTCCGGTGCCCATGGGAGAGGTTTTGATCGAAGCAGAAGCCACGAGAATGAAATTGAACGTCCCAGTTTATTGTTTGGAAACCCTGGAGGAGGAGGAGGAGAAAGAAGAGGAAGAGGAGGAGGGAAAGGAGGAAGAGGAAGTGCCAGGCAGCCCTAAACCTTTGCACCTCACATCCGTGTCCCGGTGCTGCCGGCTTTGTGGGGCAGCTCTCCCCTCCATCCCAGAGCTCCACCAGGCTCTGATTCCCAGAACATTCCCAGCCCTTCCTGCCCTGTTTTCCCGGGATTTTGCCGTGGGAGGGGAAGCTCTGCCCAGCCCTGTGAGCCATCCCCGGGGCCAGCCCAGCCCCTGGCCTGTGCGAGGGGACGGTGACAGATCCGATGGCCTTTCCCTATGCAGGGAATGCCCCCCCAGGGGTGGATCCCGAGGCGTTTTCCTGGTTCCAGACCGTGGATACGGATCACAGCGGGTTCATCTCCGTCAAGGAGCTGAAGCAGGCGCTGGTCAACAACAACTGGTCCTCGTTCAACGATGAGACCTGTCTGCTCATGATCAGTGAGTTTGGGATCTCCTTCCCCCTTTCCTGGTGTTAATCTGGTTTGTTTCGATTTGGGGGTGAAGCCCATGCCGGCAGAATTCCCCTTTTCCCGGCTGGAATGGGAACCGGGCAAACCAAACGGCTCCCAGTGCAGGACACTGTGAAGGGCCCAAAATCCTGCTTGGGAAAGGAAATCCCAGCTCTGCACAAGCCCCAGATCCCACAAAGGGAGGAAAAGGAGGGAAAGCCCAAAAAATGTGGAGACTGACCCAGAGCTCGCCCCAACCTCAGTTTTTGGTGCCGTTTCTTACCAGCCTTGGGTTGAATGCTCCCAGTCCTGGTGAGGGGGGGGGGATTTTTTGGGATCAGAGCAGGATTCCAGGGAGCCGTGCCGCGGATCCTGGAGCTCCCTGGAACTTTCTTCAGCTTTTCCACTCCTCCCTGCCCTGTTCCTTGCCCAGACATGTTTGACAAGACGCGGTCGGGGCGCATCGACGTCTACGGCTTCTCCGCCCTGCTCCGCTTCGTCCAGCAGTGGAGGAGCCTCTTCCAGCAGTATGACAGGGATCAATCCGGCTCCATCAGCTTCAGCGAGCTCCAGCAAGGTGGGTGAGGGACAGAGCCATCAGCCTGGACTGTCCTGACCCCCCCCCCGGACAGCCACTGTTCCCAGCTGGAAGCTGGAATTCCTCCTGGAGTGGTCCCTGCAGCCGGGCTGGGGGGGCTCTGGGATGATTCCAGAGCAGGGAATTTTGGATAAACCAGGCTGGAGCTTCCCAGGGGGTAGGAGGTGATGAGGTGCAGCAGGGTTTGGGCACAAACTTCCTTCGGGAAGCCCAGAATTCCTCCTCAACGATGAGTGGCTGGAACCTAGTTTTTTGGGGAGGAGCTCTTGGGTGTGTGTAAAGGGAAAAATGCCTGGAATTTGTGGTTTGATTCCTCTGGAGAGCCCTGCCCGTGCACACCCTGAGTGGGAAGGGTGCTGGGAGTGGGAGATGGGGTGGCAGAGGAAGACACAGCCACTCCCCATCCCTTTGGGAAGCTTTAATCCGAGATTTTTTTTCTTTTTTTTTTTTTTTTTTTTTTTTTTCTCCCAGCTTTCTCCCAGATGGGTTACAACCTGAGCCCCCAGTTCAGCCAGCTGCTGCTGGCCCGGTATGCCCAGCGTTCCCCCAATCCCAGCATCCAGCTGGACCGGTTCATCCACATCTGTATGCAGCTGCAGAGCCTCACCGACGCCTTCCGGGAGAAGGACACGGCTCTGCTGGGAAATATCCGCCTCAGCTACGAGGATTTCCTGGCCATGGTGGTGACCCGCATGCTGTGACATTCCCCACTCCAAAGTTTGGGAATTCTGGAGCTCTCCAGGAGCTTCAGCCATCCTCATCTTCCCTCTGGGATGTGGCTGAGCCTCCTCTCTGCTCCCAAGAGTTCCCCCCAACCCCGGGGCCAAATTTCCAGCTTGATCCACCCCAAATCCTGCTGGGTTGGATTTCTTGTGTCCATCCTGTGGGAGCCAAACCGGGACAGCCAAACCAGCTTAGATCCCAAATTCCAGCTTCATTCCGAGCTGCCTGCAGCAGAACATCCCTGGTTTTGGGGAGGAAAAGCTGAGCCTTGGGTTTGGAAGCAGCAGGAAAGTGGAAAAGTGAGGACAGAGCTCCTGAGTGCCCTGGGATCACATCCCACCCTGGGAATTTTTTCCTGGGGGGTCTCATCCCTGTTTTTTTGGGGGCTGCTGGAAAATGGGATGTGCTGCTGCAGCCCCATGGCATCATCCCTTCACTGTTGCCAATCCCGAAGCCAAATGCAGCCAAAGTTTCGAGCTCAGTTTTTCCAGCTTTGGAATAAAAGGCGTCGTGCTCCGGCTGCTCTGTGCTCTCTGTGTCCTGGGGGGGCTCCAGGGGACATCAGGGACCTCCTGTCCCCACTTTGGTGGCACCAGGGGACACGGCCTGTGCCTCTCTCCCTGCTCCTAGGACTGGACACCATTCCCTGAAATCAGTGTCACAATAGAGAGGAGAAATATAGAAATAGAGAATAAAGAAATAGAGAAAAGAAAGGGCTGGGAGTTCCCAAGGCACAGAAAAATCCAAACGAGGTCGGAGTTTCCTTCCTGTCCAGGGGATGAACCTGGAATTTACCGTGAGGAATCTCCAGGAGATTTGAAGGAATTCTCATGGAATAAAAGGTGGAAAGGTCTGGGATCAGAGGGACGAGCCCAGGCTCGGTGTTTTCTGTGTGACCTCGGTGTTTTCCAGCCCCGGGCAGGACTGGCTGTTCCCAACCATCCCCGAGCATTCCGAGGATATTTCTGCCCTGAGCATTTCCAATATTTCTCTTGACTCAGAGCTCAGCCCTGCTTGGGCTTGAGGCAGAGGGGTTGGGGGTTGTAAATATGTATAAAATATATATTTTATATCTTTTATACACACACATCTATGTATTTTATATATGTATTTTATATGCTACATATAAATATCGAAAAATATAAAATACCTATTGGTAAATACATATAAATATATATAAAATACATATAAATATATATAAAAGACATATAAATATATATAAAAATACATGCGTGCATGTAATATATATAGGTGTGTGTACATAGAAATTTTCACATATATAAACAGACATGTTTATATATATACACATGTCCATGTATAAAGATAAACATATAAAAACTATTTACATGTATATATATATATATACACATGTAAATATGTATATAAAGACGTGTTTTTATATATACACACATGTAAATGTAAATACATGGACACACATGTTATATATATAATATATATATAATTTATATAATTTATATTATTTTTATTAAATATTATATATATTCATATTATATATTATATAATTATATTATATACATGATATATATTATAGTATGTATAATATATATAGATAATATAGAATATATAATATTTATATATAATACTATATATAGTGTATATATATAATATATACACACCATAATATATAATACATATACATATATATACACACATATACATATAATATATATAATATTTTATATATGTATTATATATAAGAAATATAAAATTAATATAAAAAATAAATATAAATGGAATATATTTATATAAGATAAAATATATTTATATAATATATATTATATATATATTATATATATATAAATATATTCTATTTATATATAATACATATATAATATATATTATGTATTCTATATATAATATATTAAACTGCTGTGGTTACATGTATATATACATATATATATATTTTAAAAATATATATAGATATATATATTGATAGATACAGACATTTCTTTACACATCCATGTCTCTATACACATAAATATATTTTTAAAATATATATAAATACACATTGACACATCCTTTCAGTTGCAGGAAGCCACCACCAGGTGTCACCGCACTCCGCACTGCGCGTGTCCCCACCCTGTGCCGCGGGGGGACCCGAGGGAGGGGACATGGAAAGGGACAGGGACTTTGGGAAAGGCGACAACAGCCCCGGGGCCACCCCGGGGACACGGGGACACGGCGGCTGTGGTGGCACATGTGGCTGTGGTGGCACTGGGCAGTGGCACATTTGGCCGCGGTGGCACACGGTGGCCGCGGTGGCAATAACCGGCTGAGGTGGCACAGCTGGGGGCGGTGGCACAGCTGGGGGCGGTGGCACAGCTGGGGACGGTGGCACAGCTGGCCATGGTGACACCCCCTGGCCACGGTGGTGGCCGTGGTGGCCCGAGTGACCGCGCGTGCCCGCGGCGTGTCCAGCGCTGGCCGCGGTGAGCGGAGCGGCGGGGCCGGAAGGTGAACAATGAGCGGGGCCTTATCTCACCCCCCCAGCCCTTCCCGGGGCCACGCTGGGCCCCCCAGAACGGGGTGACAGAAGGGGGTGACAGAAGGGGGTGACAGAAGGGGGTGACAGGGCCCACGTGTCCCCCTCGGAGCACTGAGTCCACCCTCTAAGCTTCAGAGGCTTCCATAACTTTATTTACAAACAATAAAAAGCAAAATAAATACAAAAAAACCCCAAAAAGTCTTAAAAGTACAGCCCTTGTTATGGGGGGGAAGGGGGAGGTGTGCGGGCTGTGCTGGCTGCGTGGACCCCACTCGTGGCCCCACCAGGACGGGGACACCACGGGGCTGAGCCCTCCCTTGTCCCTGCTGTCCCCAGGGCGGGGTGGCAGGGCCATAGCACCATAGGGACGGGCTGGGGACGGTGGGGACCCCATCCTGGCGACACCCAGCCCTGGGGGGGGCTCAGGGGACCCCCCCGCTGGGTTATTTCACACCCCCAGCGCTGCCCTGGCTGGGGGGAACTGGTGGGGCCAGGACGGGAGGGGCAGGAATTCAGATTGGGAAAAGGCGGGGGGGGGGGGGGGGATCCCACAGCTCCAGCCGGGATTTGGGGAGGGGGTGCAGCTGCCTTTGAAGAGCCCCCCGCAGCCACCGCAGCCCAGCCGAGCCCGGGGCGGGGGGATTAGCGGGTAAATCCCATGGGAGACGGGAGCAGCCTCCGGGACACCCCCCACGCACGCCCCACTGCACCCAGCCGCTGTGTCAGCACTGCGGGGACACGCAGCCCCCCGGCCAGGGGACCCGGGGGACCCAGGGGACCCAAGGGACAGCGCCAGCCCCCTGGCCAGAGGACTCAGGGGACCCAGGGGACAGTGCCAGCCCCCTGGCCCGGGGACTCAGGGGACCCAGGGGACAGTGCCAGCCCCTGGCCAGGGGACCCAGGGGACTCAGAGGACCCAGGGGACAGCGCCAGTCCCCGGCCAGGGGACCCAGAGGACTCAGGGGACAGTGACAGTCCCCCGGCCAGGGGACTCAGAGGACCCAGGGGACAGCGCCAGTCCCCCGGCCAGGGGATCCAGGGGACCCAGGGGACAGTGCCAGCCCCCCGGCCAGGGGACAAAGGGACAGCGCCAGTCCCCCGCTCGCCCTGCCGGGACTGAGGGGCCGCACTGGGGACAGGGACATCGTGGGCAGCGCGGGGCTCACTTATGGGGCATGTCCTCCATGCTGACGCGGCCCCAAACCCCCACCACGAAAGTTTCCACCTCGCACTCGTTGACGCCGCGGGCGATGCGAAAGTGGCCGCCCTCGCCCCACGCTGTGCCCCACGAGTTGGCCGCAGTCTGCAGAGGGGACACGGGACACGCTCAGCCTGGTGACCCCCACATCCCCCAGCCCCAAAGCCAAGCTGGACCCCACGTGGGCGCCAGGAAGCGGCAGCACCCCCAAAAAACTCACCCCAAATACTCACCCAGTATTTTTGGATCTGGCCATCAGGCAGCTGCTCCTCTCCCCACCTGCGGTGGGACAGGACAGTGAGGGGGGGTCCCCAGGCACCCCCAAACTGTGGGATCGCCCCACCCAGCACCGTGCTGGGATGTGGGGGTGCTGACCCTGCTCGTTTCCTGCCCCCAGGGCCAGGCCGAGGTTTTGACATCCGCTCCCGGAATAGGGGCAGGAATATTTAGCCAGGGCAGGAGGAAGGAAACACCGGCACAGGCAGCAGGCCCTGAGCCCTCCCGGGGGTCTGCACCTCCATCCCGACCCCTCCCGGGGGTCTGCACCTCCATCCCGGCCCTTCCCGGGGGTCTGCACCTCCATCCCGGCCCTCCCCGGGGGTCTGCACCTCCATCCCGGCCCTCCCCGGGGGTCTGCACCTCCATCCCAGCCCTCGCCGGGGGTCTGCACCTCCATCCGGGCCCCTCCTTCCAGGCTGCTGAGCACTTCACTCGTGTCACTAGTGCCACCATTCCCCTCCTGGCTTCCTTTCCCAGCTAAAGGAATATTTCTCCCACCCAAACCAAGCCTTTCCGCACCCCCTGGAGCCCCCCAGGCCACTCCCGCACCTACCCCGTGATTTTCACCGAGTGGGTCCCGTGTCTCTGGTGCTTCTTTCCCTTCCCCTCGGCCACCGGCGTGTGCCGATAGATCCCGCTCTTGTACATGAAGAAATCCTCGTGCACCTCCAGGATGGCTGCGGGGAGCGGGACAGGGTTTGGGGACACTGCCACTGTCCCCAGGCTGGGGGATTTGGGCACAGGAGGGGCACGGGGGCATCGCATTCCCGGCGGGAGGGAAGGCGGCAGCCAGATCCTCCCCGGGGCCATGAAACAACACTCAAGAGGAGGTTTCAAAGAAAAAAAAAAAATAAAAAAAAATTTAAACAAACGCAGCTGCCAAGACGGTGATTAAATCTCAGGAGTTAATGAGCAACCCAGTGCCCGCTGGGGTGGGCAGCGTGACGGGCACTGGGGCAGCGCTGCCCGGGCACGCAGGGGGAGCAGCTGAGGGGGGTTCTCGCCCCCACGACAGCTCCCCCAGCCCGGACAGAGGAGTTTTCCCCCCCCTCTTTGTTCCCCCAACCTTTTGGGGCGCACAGAGAGGTGCCCCCGCCAGCTCCTTACCTTGCACGGGGCCGTTCTCCAGCAGCTCCTTCATGATCTCCTTCTCCTGCAAGCACAGAACCGGGTGGTACCGCGTGGCACCGAGTGCCACAGCAGGGCCGGGACCCCGGCACTGCCCTCCCGACCCCCAGGGATGCAGCAGAGCTGCTCCTGCACCCACAGGCGGCTGCTGTGGAGTTGCCGGGCGGAGGAGCCGCTCCCCGCGGGCTCCGCAGTGGGGTTTTCCCAGCCGCATTCCCAAACTCGGTTTTCCCAGGTAAAGCAGCCCGAGCCAAGACCCTTCCCTCTCCCAAAGGATCCCACTCCTCCCCCGGGCCCGGCGCTCACGCTGGAGGAGAGGCGGTAGGCGGGGGTGGACTGGTAGATCTCGTTGGAATGGGTCTGGGGGTTGGGGCACCGCGCTGTCGCCTGTCGCTTGCCCCGGCCCGTGGAGCGGCTGTGCATCATGCAGGGCGGGGCGGCGGGCTGGCTCTGCTGGCTCGTGAACGGGTAGCACTCGTCTGTCACCACCCTGCGCACGGGGACAGGATGAAGGAAGGGAAGGACCACCCGGCTCCATCCTCATCCCAACCCCAAATTGCCAGGCCAATCCCAAAGCTCACTCGTATCCCCACCCTGAACCCCAATCTCATCCCTATCCCAATCCCATCCCTGTACCAAACCTACTCTCCATCCCCACACCAAATCCCTCTTCCAACCCAAAACCCACTCTCATTCCCATCCCAACTCCCATCTTCACTCCCACACCACCGTGATTCCCTCTCCCATCCCTGTCCCAAACCCCACTGTCCATCCTGCCCTGGCAGCCCTCTCCAAGGGACAGGATGAGAACAGGGATCTCTTGGGCTCTGCCCAGGTGATCAGAGCTTCAAACTTCCTTTATCCCACCCTATCCAAGAGCAGCCTCTGTCTCCCATCCCATCCCATCCCATCCCATCCCATCCCATCCCATCCCATCCCATCCCATCCCATCCCTTGGTACCCATCCCATGGAACTCATCCCATTATCCCATCCCAGTCTCATTGATCCCCTCCTATCCTACCCCATCCCACCCCATTATCCCATCATCCCATCCCCTCTCACCCTCTCCTGCGCAGGTACCACCAGGCTCCGTCCAGGCGCCCCCCGTTGCAGCCGCGCTGGTTGCGGGTGTCACAGGACAGGAGGTTTTGTGGGGACAGCGCGGGGGTCATGTGTCCCATGGAGTGGATGGAGATGCGGTCCGAGGCCACGGCTGGGGAGGGGTGGCAGGTCAGGGGAGGGGCGGTTTGGTTTCTGTCCCCACTGTCCCCTCCCCCGGCCCGCCCCTGTCCCCTCACCGGCCGTGGAGAACGCCCAGGAGCCGGCGCAGTTCCCCTGGTCCAGGGGCTCGTGGATCATCCCCGGCCACTTCGCGGCGGCATCGAAGTGACGCGGCAGCACCTCGTTAGTGTCCATGTTCATCTGCGGGGCAGAGCTCGGGGGTCAGGCTGGGGACCCCCCAGCTTCTCCTGCCACCCCAGCCATCCTCTGAGATGGTCCCCAGCCAGCTTTAGTGTCCCCCAGCTGCCCTGTGGGACCCCCACAGCTGCTCCTGCCATCCCAACCATCCCCTGAAATGATCCCCAGTCACCTTTAGTGTCCCCCAGCCCCACTGTAGGACCCAATGTCCTCCTCCTGCCATCCCAGCCATCCTCTGAGCAGGGTCCCTGACACCTTTAGTGTCCCCCAGCCCCACTGTGGAACCCCCACAGCTCCTCCTGCCATCCCAGTCATCCTCTGAGATGGTCCCCGACACCTTTAATGTCCCCCAGCCTCACTGCAAGACCCTTCCGGACAGGGACATCACCATGAGAGATAAAGATTTGGGTGCCCTCTTATCCCAGAGGAGCCACGATCCCCAATTATCCCTAAATTTGGGCTCCACAGCTCCTTAGAGAACAGCAGCACCGAGTGTCCCGTCCCGGACCCCAGCAAGGCCCTGGGTGGCCACCCCGAGCGCACAGCTCTGGGTCACACAGCCCCTCACGGTGGCCTCTGGCCCAGCCTTTCCGTCCTGGAGCGGGGACAGTGCCCCCGCCCCGGCCTTCCTGGGGAGGACACGGCCACAACTCCCCGGCTTCTCCCAGCTCAGGAAGCGCCTCTAAAATTAAACCTCAAGCTCCGGAGCTCCGGGGCTGGGCGTGCACCGAGCTCTGCCAGCACCCCAGGGACCCCCGGGGGTGCCCACCCCGGGTTTGGGTGAGGGCAGAGGCTGGAGCAGCCGGCTCTGCTGAGTCAGCAGCGGCGGGGCCGGCGTTCCGATGGGAAACGAGCACGGAGGAGAGGGGGAAAAAACAACACTGGCAGCTCGGGGATTGTCCGGGGGAATTTGCTGAGCTGCTGTCTCCAAACACAAGGGCTGCCCTGCCTCCCCTCTGCGAGCCCCTTCCCAGCCGTGGGGAATCACTGGGACGGGCAGGGATAACCCCTGGCGTGCCTCAGTTTCCCCCCATTCCCGGGGGGACTCACGTGCATCTCGTTCATGTTCATGACGGTGGGAGAGGGACGGAAGGTGCCCAGGCGGTACCGGATCCCGTCCTCCAGGGTCATCCCCCAGAACTGGCTGTAGTTGGCGGCTCTCCAGCTGCGTGGGAAGAGGGGACACGGGTCACGGGTCACCCCAAAAAGCACCCAGGGGTGAAGCATCGCTGCCCCATCCTCGCGGTGCCCGGTCCTCACCCGTAATTGCCTCTGTTGACGGCGTCGATGAGCTCCCCATCCATCAGGCAGGCGTGGTCCTCGCACTGCCACTGCCCGCCGGGGCCGCAGGTGCTGCAGAGGGGACAGGCGGTGAGAAATGATGTCCCCAGAGTGACCAGAGGGACCCTGAGTGGGCGCTGCCCCTCCCGAGCCGGGCAGCCAGCCAGGGGCTCAGGGCCCAGGGGTCACCAGGGCTTGGCACCTCGCAATGGGGTGAAGCCGTGGGCAGCCCTCTGGGTGACCCCGAGTGGCCTCTGGGTGACCCTGAGTGGCCTCTGGGTGACCCTGGGAGCTGTCCCCCGCCACTGTCCCAGTCCTGGCAGGAGCCCCGAGGGTAAAAAATCAGCTGGGAAGCTGCCAGGGCTGCAGACATCAGAGAGGGGCTTGGACACCAGCCCGGGGCCGGGGGTCGGGGCTGGGTGTCCCCACGAGTGCCCCACTCCCACCAGGTCACTCCTGCGGGCACCCACGGGGACAGCCGGGCCAGGGGGGGCTGTGGGGGTGTGGCGGGTCCCCCGGGGAGCCCCGGGCTGTGCTCCCCCCGTGCAGTGAGCAATGCTTGGCATGCTCCCTCCTGCCCAGATCCCGGCACATTTCCCTTTTATGGAGCTGCCCAGACTGCGGCGCATTTCCCTTTTATTCCCCATCCCAAATCCCGCCTGCAGCACCTGGATTCCAGCATTCCCCCGTCCATCCCTCAGCGCTCCCGGCGCTGTCTGTGACACCTGGCGACCTGAGAGCACCTCAGGGTGCCACCAGCTGGGTGCCCACACTCCTTGTCACCTCTCCGTGGTTTTTGTCCCCTGCCACACCCGCAGCCACCGCGGCAGGGACAGGGGCGGGGGGGAAGCGCTGCAGAAATTCTCCAGGCGCCGAGTGCGGGGCGGGGGGGTTTGGAAGAGAAGATTTGCCCCCTCCCCAGAGCTGGTAGGTCAGAGATGCTCCCCCAGCAGCAGCAGAGACTCCACTCACACGGCTTGGGGACATTCCCCCGGGAATGGGGACACTCTCCATCCCCGAGTCCTCCCCGCCACCATCCCGGAGGAGCTCCGGGCTGCCCCAGAGCTGTGGGGAGGCTCGGGCTGGCTTTTCACCTGCGGCCCAGGCGCACGCCCGCACACACACATGTTCACACACATGTTCACACACGTGCCCCTGCCCTCGCACCCGCCCCAGACGCTGCCTTTGATTTCCTCTTATCTGCCGCATCGCCCCTGCGGGTTCAATCCTCGTCTCCGGCAGCTCCGCGCCTGCAGGTTGCCCTATTCCCCACCTCCGCATGCCAGTAATACCAGTATTCCCAGTATTCCCAGTATTCCCACATAACCCCCGCGCTGCTCCAAAGGCGAGCTCCGGGGTCTGCCGAGCAGGGACTCACTGCTGGCACGAAGCCACCGCGGCTACCCGAGCATCCCGTCAGGCTTGGGCAAGCTGGGCTGTGACCAGCGTGCCCAAAACCCCCCTGGGCAGCGCTTTGTCCCTCCGGGGCGAGCGGCTCCCACGCAGGCATGCGCTGAAACTTGGGAGAGGCTCAAGGCCCTTGGCTCCGAATTTTTGTTGGAGTAAAGGCATTTTGGCAGCAGCTCCCACCACCCAGCTCGGGCCTCGCTCTGCGCCGAGCTCTGAGATTTGCAGGAGCTCGCGGGACCGAGACACCTTCCTCTGGTGACATGCTGGTGACATGCCACAGGTGCCCGCATAGCATTCGCTCACCACAGGTTGCAGTTCTCCCGGTACGTGGCTCCGGTGGGATAATTGCGTCCTGCACGGGAACAGCCTGAATGGGAACGGGAGAACCCCTGGTGAGTGCCTGGCTGTGTCGGGGGTCCCACCAGCACCCCCATATTCCCGGGGGGACAAACCAAAGGGAAAAAAAAATCAACGCGGTTCCTAAACCCAGGCAGGTGCCCGGCTGCACCTTGGCACCCCCGAAGTTATACTGGGGGTCAGTGGGCGCTACACGGTGCCAGGGATGCAGGCATCAGAGAGGGGCTTGGACACCAGCCCGGGGCCGGGGGTCGGGGCTGGGTGTCCCCATGAGTGCCCCGTGAGGGTGGGAGCGGGGCTGGCTCGGCGCCGGGAGGGTTAAATGTTCTCAGCCTGGCGGGACGGGGATAAAGGGGCCGGTTGTGCCCGGGAGGAGCTGGCTCTGCTCCTCAGGGACTCTGAGAGCGCCTTGTGCTGTGAGCTGGGGGCTGCCCGTGCCCCCTCCCCGCCCCAGCTGCCGCCAGGGTTAAGCCAGGGCCAACATCTGCCTGCCCCAGACGTGACCGGGCACGCTGGGGTGGAGTCCCCGCGTGTCCCCTCACTCCCCCGCTCTGCCCACAGAGCCGCCGCTTCCCCAGGGATCGCACTATGGGCTGCTCCCACACCTCCATCCCCATCCCCATCCCGGACACTCTCTAGGAGTCCCCACAGCTTTGAGGGTTCACGAACAGCCCTACAGTGAGGGCAGGAATGTGGGGTGCCACATCCATCACCCCGAGGAGCACCACCACCCTCACACCGCTCACCCAGCACCCCAGGGCTGCCCCCCAGCACCCACAGCCGGGCTGGGCGCGCCTCACCTGCGGCTTTGGGGAAGGGGGCCGGGATGCCCAGGCAGTATTCCCAGAAATCGGGGCAGCAGTCGGACACGGTGCGGTTGCAGAAGAGGTCGCAGTAGCAGAGGGTGTCGTGATAGGGCACGGTGCAGCCATCGTCGCGGCCGTGGCAGCACACGTCCCCCCGCTGGCAGTAGGAGCCCCCGGCGTCGTAGACCCCGTGCTCGTACAAACCGGGGCTCAGCTCCCGGCGGGTGCGGACCCGGGAGGACAGGGCCACCTGGGCCACCTGGGCCACCAGCCAGAGGCACAGCAGGGCCCGCATGTCCCCGGTCATGTCCCCACACCTGCGGAGGGAGGGGAGAGATGTGGCGGGGGTCCTGTGGGTTTTCCACAAGCCCCATCCCACTGTGGGTGCTGCTCCCACCCTGCCCTCCCCAGGCTCCTCAAAACATTCAAAAACTCCTCAAAACACTCAAAACAAGGGGAATTTTGTAACTCCCCTTGTGACCACGCAGCTCAACCTCCAAAACAGCCTCCCAAAAACTCTCCCCCCAGCTCCGCACATCCCGAGGGGCTCCGTGCCCGCCCACCCTTTAACCACCGGCTCCAAAAGCAGAATCCCCTCGGGGAGGGGCTCCCCGGGATATTCGGGGGGAGCTGCGAGGGTCCCGTCCCCACCGCCACCCCCAGACCCCATCGCGGGCAGTTCGATGAGTGCCAGGGGCCGAGGAGGGTGACGGGGACCCCCAAAAAGGCCGGTGGGGACAATCTGGGGGGCACACGAGGAAGAACCCCCTCCTGCTGCGTCCCTACCCGTCCCCCCTGCAGCGTGGGGACTCCCGGCACCCCGATAAAACGGGGAGAGGGTGACCCACGCGGCACCCACGGGGATCCCACGAGGTGCGACCCCCTCCCCATTCCCGGCCGTACCTGCCGCGCCCGCCTCGCAAACACCCCGGGAGAGGAGTGAGGGGTCCGGTGCTGGGATCCCTCACGGAATTCATGGGGCGGGACCCCCTCCCCAGCCCCACCCCGTCCCCCCCGAGCCCAGCCCGTCCCGTACCTGCCGCGCCCGCCGCTCCGCCGCCCCGCGCCCGCCGCCGGGCCCGCCGCTCCTTATAGCCGCGCCCCGGCCGGGGGGGCGCGGGGAGGCGCCGGGGCAGCCGCGACCGGCCCGGGGCGGAGCGCAGCGGGGCGGGGGTCGGGCCTGGGGTTGTAGAACCGAGCCCTGAACTTATGGCCCCCGCCTCGCCCGCAATTCCCGGTGACACATCTGTCCCCGCGGGATCGGGGTGTCCCCGGCTCCCCATCCCCTCCCGGTGCCCCCCGCTACTGCCCTCGCCAAATGGGGGGTCCTGGCTATGGTGGCAGGGGGGGGAGCAGTCCTGGGGGGTTCCCCCATTGCCCAGAGTTTGGAGAGGAGGGGAAAGGAAGGATAGAGAGGGGAGGGGGCTGCGTTCCTCCCCCTTGCAGGGGTGTGGGCAGCTGGGGACAGCTGAGACAGGGACACCCCAGCACAGCCCAGGGCACGGAGTTGGTGCCACTTGGATCCAGCCCCCCGTCCCCGCTGCCAGGGTCCAGCCACGCACTCAAGGACCAGAACCGGGGGGGTCTTGGCCACCCCCCCAAAGCTCCAGCCCCCCCGCCCCGGGCCAGCACCTGCTGCGGGACCTCAGCCACCCACTCGGGTCTCCTGCGGTCCCAGCCTCGCCGGGAGCGCCTCCCGGCTCTGCCAAAGGATTCCTCGAGGATTCCTCACGGCAGCCAGGACGGGAGCACCGCGGGGTTCCCTGGGCGGCCGCGAGCCACGGGCCACGAGCCACGGGCTGGTGGCTGAGCCCAGGGGGGAGGGCTGAGCCCGCGGCCAGGGTGGGTTTCACTCGAGGGAGGGGAGTGGAAGTGGGGAGCGCCAAATCCCGCCGGGCACGGGGGCTGCTGCTCCCCGGGACCCTGGGGTGCTTTGGGCGCCTGAACGAGGGTCCTGTGGAGCCCCATCCTCAAGGAGCCCCTCTTCCAAGAGCTCTTGGAAGAGCCTTTTCCTGTGAGTGTGTCCTTGGGCAGCAGAGCTGGAGGCTGGAGCGGCGCAGGAAGGAACTGAGTCCAGCCCAGAGTCCGACTGTCTGCATGACTGGACTCGTAGGAATCCACAGTGAGTCACGAATTCCCCCAAGACCCCCGGGGAACAAAGCAAAGCCACTAGCACAAAGGACATCCCCGGCCACTGCTCTGTGTCCTTGTGCCCCCGCCAGCTCCCTGACAGCTCAGAGGACTGTGGGGTGCTGCGGGAACATCTGACATTCCCGTAACAACCCTGTCTCCCTGCCAGCTGATAAGAGCAGCAGCGCGGAGGCGGCAGCGGCGACAATCCAAGTGTTTGGAGCATCCCCTCACCCCGTTCCTGCGGCTGGGCTCCTGCGGCCAGCTGGCCCTGCGAGGTCACAGCTCCCTCTGTGTCACTCTGACGCTGGCGTCTCCCCCCTGCTCGTGTCCCCTCCGCGGGGAGTGGCAGGCTCGGCACACGTGGGGCACAGCCAAGGTGGAGTGGGACAAAGTCCTGCCGGGGCACCTTGGGCCCATGTGACGGCGGGAGGCAGAGCCGAGGGCTGGCACACACCCCCTGCCCTGCCTGTGCCACCACCCCGGCCGTGCTGGGGGAGGGACAAGGTGCCAGGACCCCGTCCCCACTGCTCAGAGCCCTGGGAAGACCCCAGACCCAGCTGGGTTGGTTCTGGGTACCCCGAACACACCGAGCTGCCACCCCCGAGGGGTGCAGGGTGAAGATCCCACCCTGGCAGGGATGAACCCCCCCCAAACCCACCCGGGATCGCCGCCCACCCCGCTGGGAGCACCGGGACAGGCCGGTACCGTGCCCCTATGGCTTTTGGGGTGCTGCAGCCTCACTGATCGCCCTCCCAACCAACCCCCCAGGGATTGCACCCCACACATCGGGCACTCGGCGGAATCGGGGTGCTGGAGTCCCCACGAGACCCCCATGGCCGGGCCGGGGCAGCTCTGGGGGCAGCGGGGCAGGGAGGCGCTGCTCCCGCACTGCTCGGCTCCGAGACCATCCTAGGGCGAGTTTCTTGGCAGGAGGCAGCCAGGAAAGGCAGGGACTGAGCCGCGGCCAGCCCCGGCTTCCTCCCGAGCCAGCGGCACGGGAAGGGGCCACCTCACCCCGCGATGTCGCAGGACGTGCTGTCCCCGGGGGGTCCCAGCTCACAGCCATGGGGTGAAGCTCTGCTGTCCCCAGAGGGGTTTGGGGGGCTCCTGGGGAAGGGGACTCCACCCTCACCTCCCTGGGATGGTTTTGGGGACATCGCAGCGTCGTCGCCATTTGGGGGGGACACACCAAACAGGCGGGGGGGGCAGCGACCCTTTCCTGGAAGGTGCCAAAAAAGCAGCGCGCGGGTCCCTCTGCAGTGACAGCAACCCTGCAGCTCCCCTTTCCCCCACCCAGGATGGAGCTGGGGAGGGCGAACGGGCTGGAGCTGGGCTCTCAATCCCATCTCGGTGGGTTTCTGCAGCTTAAAGGGTCAGGGAGGCTTCCGGACATTTGTGTCCCCTGGCCGGACTCTGCTGTCCCCTGGCTGGACTCTGCTGTCCCCTGGCCCCAGCTCGGCCGCAGGGCTGGAGTGCCACCTCTCGGGAGCGCCGGGATAGAGACAGCAGCAGGCGGGGCAGCCTCTACTCCAAATTTTAATGAAACAAATAAATTAATAAGTTAATCAAGTGAGGTAACTACCGCTGGCTCGAGGGGGTGGGAGGGGGCTGCGGGGACCACCCAGCCCCGGGAGGGGGGATCCTAAGGGTTAATTCCTGCGTGCGGCTGCGGGCAAAGCTGTCACATGCACCTCGCCCCACGGCCACCCAGCCAGAGCTGTCCCCTCGTGTCGCACCGCCCGGGCACCCCCGGGGGCGAGGGGAGGGGACCGGGGGGGTTCAAGCAGCCCTGGCACGGCCCGCGCTGGCCACATGCACTGAAAGGGGCGAGGAGACGAGCAGGGTCGGGGGTCCCCACTCTGCCCGGAGCAGGGGGACGGGAAAAGGGGGGTGCGAATGGCCCGAATCCAGAGAGGGGCGGCGCTGGGTGGGTGCGAGCAGCGCCAGGACAGATCCCGGCACTGTGGGGTCACCACCGAGCTCCCCCCGAGGGGATGCAGCCCCAACCTGGCACTTTGGCACAACCCCAGTGTTGCTGGACTGGGAACCGGCGCCGGGACTGGGAAGGGCAGCGCGGGGGATTGTGGCAGCGTGGGAGGTGTCGCGGCTCTGCTGTAAGGTGACATGCAAGGACACCGCCCTGTCCCCACCAGGCAAGCCCCTCTCCATGCCCGGCCCGTGCTGCCCGGACCGCAGAGGGGACAGGGACACGGGCAGGGACAAACTGAGCACCGCGGGACGCAGCCGGGAGGGAAATCCTCTAAGCAGGACACAGAGGGAGGGACATTCCTTGGGGACAGCGCCTGTGCCTGCACCCCTGCCTTCCCCACAGCCCCTGCTCGGCTTCCTGCCCCCAGGGCCACCCTCGGGTGCAGATTTTCCCCCTGGCCCTGAGCCCTCAGGGCCTCCAGGGCCCTGCTGGGCAGCACAGTCCAGCCCTGGGAGCTGGCAGGGGGTTTCTTATTGCCTATGGCCCCTCGGGTTGCTCTTCCCAGGGGTGTTGCATATTAAGACATTATTGCATAAATACATATATATATATATATATCTTCTATATATATATTGCCCTGGGAGCATGCACGGGCAGGCAGAAGGCTCTGCTGTGCTTCTGGAGAGGTGCAGCCTGGTGGTGGGGGGACAGTCCCCTGCTCCCCCCACTGGGGACCCCGAGTGACACGGGTAAAACCACCCTGGGTCGTGCCCCCACATCCCTGCACTGACAGCAGGAGGGAGATGGGACCTTGCATAGCTGGTGGTGGCCCCGGCTCAGCTCTGGGGGACCAGGCAGGACCTGTCCTGAGGGCTGGGGCTGGGATTTAAACCAAACCCCAGGGGATGGGGCCAGCCCGGAGCACCCCCACCACAGCTGGGGAGCACCCAGAACCCCGGAGCTGGGCGGGGTGTCATCCCGCAGGAAGCCAGGAGCATCTCAGGAGCACCCCAGGAGCATCCCAGGAGCATCCCAGATCCCAGGGGCATCCCAGAAACATCCCAAGAGCATCCCAGGAACCCCCCAGGAACATCCCAGCAGCGTGGGCTGGCCATGCCGCAGTGTCACAGTGCCACCCCACTGCAGCCGTGTCCCCGCAAAGGAAGACTCGGTTCAAGTAACACGGCGAGGGACAGCGAGGGACAGCGAGGGGACAACGCCACGCCACTCCCAGCCCCCCGTCCAGGCGGGCAGGGTCCATCCCGCTGCCTTCTGCTCCTTCTGCTCAGTCCATGTTGGCGCTGGCCGACCTGGAGATGTTGAGGGTCTGGGCGGACACGGAGATGTCCTCGTGGTCCACGGGGCTGTGGTAGTCCGAGGTGATGTCGGGCTCGCCGAGGGGCACCCGCACGGCGGCCAGGCTGAAGGAGTTCGTGGAGCCCTTGCGGAGGCACTGCGAGTAGAGGCCGAGCAGCAGGTCCAGCTTGTGCTCGATGGATTGAACCTGCAAGGGACGCAGGGAGGGGCTGAGCCGGGCTTAACCCCGCGGGAGGGGTCTCGGGGGGGCTCGGGTCACCCTCCGAAAGGATGGTGACATCCCCGGGGTGTCCCCTCCTGACCTGCCGCTCCACTTTGACCACTCGCCCCATCATGCTGAGCTCGTCCACCAGCTCCCCCTCCAGCGCCGGCTTCTCCCCTTTCTCCCGAACCTTCTTGTCCGCAGGGAGAGCCCGATCCCTGCCCACGATCTGGTCCACGCTGGCAGGGAGGGAAGGGGCAGAGCCCATCCATCACTCCCAAGGGCTCGGGATGGAGCTCTGGGAATGTGGGAGAGCCCCTGCAGGGCACCTCACCGAGTCTGCAGGCTCTTGATCCTGCCCAGCATGTCCAGGTGTCCGGCCGAGTACTGCTCGATGACATCCTTGACGTCGTAGGGACGCAAGGTCTCCTTAAACTTCCTCTTGGCCACCAGGAATTTCAGGATCCTGCAGGGACAGCCGGGCTGGAGGCAGGAACGGGATGCCCCGGGGGAGGGGGTTCTGTGCACGCTGGGGGACACGGGAGGGGACAGTCTCACCTGACAGCCCGGATCAGGGTCTTCACGGCCGGCATGATGTCCTCGAAGGTCAGGTCGCAGGGGGAGCTCCTCTCCTCGCCGCTGTCTTCCGGCGGGCAGTCTGCTGTGGGTGCCAAGAGCGGGTGGATGGCAGACCCCGAGGGCTGTCCCCAACCCTGAACCCCCCCCACAGTGTCCCCAAAACCCCTCACCCAGAGGGGCTCACCCTCAGCCGGGGTCCGCGGTTTGAGCCTCAGGGATGCTCGCAAGCGGGTGCGGTCGTTGAAGCTCCAGCTTTTCTGCACCTTGGTGGGGCTGGAGGCCTCGGCCACGTCCTCGGTGCTGGGGGAGCGGTGCAGGGGCGGGCCCAGGTGCTGCTGCTGCCGCCCGCGGCTGCCCTGGCGCTGGGAGCTGCTCAGCCGGATCCGCTCCTTGATGCCCATCTTGTTACTGCGTGGGGACAGCGGGACAGGGCGGTGTCAGGGCCGTGGGGACAGCGACAGGGACAGGGTGGTGAAGGGGGGGTGGCCGTGCTGAGCTCACAGAGAGCCCCCGGCAGGTGATGGGCAGGAGCCGGGCCAGGAGCAGGCGGTTCCTGCAGGGGCGGCTCTGGGGCTGCTCCTTTAAACCCCTTTGGTTGGTCCCAAGAGCAGAGAAAGGAGGTGACAGACAAGGAGAGAGGGGACAGACGGGTGTGGCAGCAGGGGACACGAGGCAGAGCCACCTCAGAGCTCTGCTCCTGCTCCATCTCTGCTGGCACGGGGTGTTCGCAACCCGGCCAAGCTCCTTCATCATTCTCCTCCTCCTCCTCCAGGCTGCACCTCCCAATCCAGGCTCTGCTCCTGCCCTAACGCGAGTTCTGCTCCCAAACCCAGCTGCAATTTCGGGTTGGGGGGTGGGGGGAAGCACCAGGCATTGTTTATGCAGGACCTACACAAACCCCCCGTATTTTCCATGATGAGAGACCCCAAACACAGCTCAAGGGGACACACAGGGAAGGATCCTAAAGCCGGGGAGGACACGGGAGTGAATCCCACACCCGCTGCAGGACAGGCTCCACGAAACCCAAGAGTTTGGAGACATTCCTGGATTTCCTCAGGCAGGGCAAGGCAGGGATACAGGCAGGGTCCGGGCAGGGTTCGGGCAGGGTCCGGGCAGGATCCAGGCGGGGTTTGGGCAGGGTCCGGGCAGGGTTCGGGGCTCCCAGCCCTTCCCCTGCTGGCAGGGGGTGCTGCCACACACCCCATCCATCCAGGGGCTGTGCCAGAGGGTGGGAAGGGCTGTGTCCCGGGAATCAGGCTGCGGCACACCGGTGGGACGGGATTTATGGGATTTATGGGATTTACCGGTGATTGTTGCCAGTAGCCCGCGCTCATCCACGTCGCGATGGGGAAACTGAGGCAGTAGGGGACAATGGGGACAGTGGGGACAGCCAGCTCAGCCCAGGCCATGCACAGCCCCCCTGCCCCGCCGAGGGACCCCCAATTCAGCCTCCACCCGCCGTGCCTCAGCCCCCAGCCCTCTCCATGCTGCAGGCACCGGGCAGGGAGTGCATCCATGCATCCCGAGGTTCCCGGTCCCGCTCTCCGGCGGGACGGGCAGGACACGGTACCTCCGTCTCCACGTCTGCAAGAACCTCCTCTTACCACTAAAGATGGGGCTGGAGGGGCAGGGCAGAGACACAGGAGAAAAGAGAATCAGCCACGGCCAGCAGGGAGCGGAGCGTCCCGGGCCACCGCGTCCCCGTGCCCTGCAGTGTCACCGGGGAGTGCGACAAGGAGGGCAGGATGTTTGTGTAGGTCCTGCATGAACACCTGTGCGGTTCCTCGGCTCTGCCGCAAGGATTTGGGGACGGTCCCCGAGCACAGGGACCGTGGTGGCCCCGCAAACCCCGGCGGGCTCTGGTGGCGGCCGGGGACGAGCGTTACCTGAGGCGTAAACACTTGTGGGGCTGCGCGTCCTCCTCATTCCAGCTTGGGGGGCAAAGTGGGGGGCACGGTGGGTTTGGGGGGAGGGTGGAGGGATGGAGAGGAGGAGGAAGGTGAGAGGGAGAGGGGAGGAGAGAGAGAAGATGAGATGTTATGAGAGGCGATGCTCGCTGGGGAGATGGGCGGGCTCAGATCCCCGAGGAGGGTTCGGTTCTTCCCCTGCCAGTTCCTGGTTGGTCACCGAGCCCAGGGAGGAGCCCCCCAAGCTTTGAACTCACCTGGTGGGGGGAGCAGGTCCCGCTCAGCCCCACACCTGCAGCCTCAGCCCTGCTGATCGTGGGGGAAATTGAGGCACGAGGCCTCTGCCCACCTAACCCTGGCGCTGGCCCGATGTCCTGGCGGGGTGGCCAGCGTTGGTGGCACACTCTTCAGGCAGAGGGGACAAGGGACAAGATGCAGAGCAGCTGCCACCAGCAGCAGGGCAGCCTCAACCCCTCTCTCCTCTCCTCGTGGGCACCGGGAGCCTTTCCCAGCCCCAGGCTCTGGGATTTGCTCCATCCCGCCGGGATGGCAGCACTGCCCGTGCCAAGGGATTTCCTGCCACTCTCGGCTACCCCGTGCCACATCCCGGGGTCACGGCCACGTCAAAAAGGGCAGCGAGGGGAGCCCACGGAGCTACAAGAGCCCAGAGTGTCCCTCTGGATCCAATCTGCCCCTTCTGGAGCTGGAGCAGAGCTGGGAGCGGCACAGGAGCAGGAGGGGAGCCCAGCACGAGTGGGGAGCAGGGGCAGCTCGGGGAGGTGGCACCTCGGGGTGTGGCCTGGCAGTGACAGTGACATCGCAGGAGGGCACAGAGGAGACGGAGCAGAGAGGAGGGAGAACACGGGGGCTGCCCCCTCCTACCTTTCCCCTGAGCACACGGCCAGGCTGAAGCTTTTCTGGGCAGGGGTGAAGGAGTGATAGGGCGGTGGGGCTCTGTCGGGCCATTTTTTCACCTCTGAATTCCTAAATCCTCCGTTGCGAACCCGGTGCAAATGCTCAAATATAAGGACCAGCTCTCTGAGGTCGGGATGAAATAAAAACGGGGAGAAATTAAAATTTCCGGAGCAAACGAAACAGGCAAAGCGAGGCTGAGCGGCGCCGGGTCCTTCTGAGCACGAACCAAAGCAAAACCAGAGCAAAACAAAACAAAACAAAAAATCAGCATTTTTCTTCAAAAGATGGTTTCTTAACTGGGGCAGACGAGCCTGTGGAAGAGTTCTGGGACAAGATTCCACAGAAGGGACCTGAGAGGGATGGATCAGGCAAGGACAAACCTGGGACGGGGTGGGGACATGGGGACCTGTCACCATCAGACCCTGGGCGCTGCTGGAGCAGCCAGAAAGGGAAAACTCAGATCCAGCGGGGATGGAATCTGGCTCTGTGTGAATTCCACTGCAGGGAAAGCAGCTCCTGGCACAGCGGGAGGGGCAGCAGAGCCCCCAGTGATTCCCAGGATCCGGGGTGATGCTCGGGAAGTTGGGGCTCGGGGCTGTGGTTAAAATCCCTGCCTTGGGAAAAATTAAAGATTAATTTGTCACACGGCCAGAGCAGGGCAGGGATGCTCACAGGGATGTGGCAAACCCTCGGGATCTGTGAGAGGGATCTGGAAAACCATTTGAGAGCTTTTGATCTGCCCACAGTGGCAAAATCTCAGGGAACGCTGCAGGAACGGGACTTGGGGCTCCCACTGGATCCCCCACTGTGGCTCCACACTGGAACCAGCTCCTGTCCGGCTGCAGCTCCACCACCGCAGCCCTGGGGTTCCCGAGGCACCATCCCGCTCCCTGTGGTGCTGCAGGAACGCTCTGGATGGGATGAGAGGGGATGGGATGGGGTGGGATGGGCGCTGTGAGGATGATGAGGATGAAGGCGGCTCCTTCAGCACACTCCCATCCTGGGAAGGTGTCGCTGCTGCTCGACCCCACCGAACCCCCGGCGGTGTCACAAGGTCCCTCCTTGTTTCCCAGGCCGTTCATCCCCACGGGGACCCCCGGGAGCCCCCCAGCCCTCACCCCCTGCCCCTTACCTGAAGGCTGGCAGGAGGCTGTCGTAGTAACACCACGTGGCCGTCAGGTACGCCCTGCTGGCATCCGTGGAGTACAGGCGCCAGGCAGCCTGCAGGGGAGCGACATTCCCGGGAATCGGGATCGATCGGGATCGATCGGGATGGGAGAACCCCCCCTCGGACCCCTCCACCCATCCTGGCCCCCACAGGCGGCAGCGACCAACCCGAAGGGTTTGGGTGCTGGATGTGTGGCCGCGATTTTTGGGTGCTTTGCAGACGAGGGGACAGCAGAGCATTCCCGGGAAGGGGTGGGGCGGGACACGCCAGCCCTGCCCTACCTGGATCAGGTTGGCCGCCGGAGTCCGCCTCTTCTCGAAGTGCTTCTGCCGATGCTGCTCCTGCACTTTGAGAGCGAAGCCGGAGCCCAGGATCCCCTGGGGACAGGAGGGGACAGCGCCGTGGGTGCGGGCCCACCCCACACAGAGGCGGCTCTGCTTTTTTTTTCTCCCCAATTTTTGCAGAGGGAACGCTCTCCCGGCCCTACTCACGGCGGGCAGGGCGAAGAAGGAGATGCCGAGCAGGGCGAACCCGGCCGCCAGCATCCGGCCCAGCCACGTCTGCGGTGCCTTGTCCCCGTAACCGATGGTGGTCAGGGTCACCTGCCCGGGGACACAGCAGAGAGGGGCCTGGAGGGCGCTCCCCCACAACAGCCCCTTCCCCACCCTCCTGCTCCCCTCCCGGGGCCGGGGAGGGGCTGTGGGGACCGAGCTTACCGTGCCCCACCAGAGAGAATCGGCGTAGGTGGCGAACTGCACATTGGCGTCCTTCTCGGCCAGGTACACGAGGAACGAGGCGAAGATGAGCACCAAGAAGCCGATGTACCAGGCGGTGATGAGCTCCTGCGGGGCACGGCGGCTCAGACACGCTCGGGGACGTGTCGAGGGATGCACCTGGATTTTTTTTTTTTTGTTTTGTTTTTTTTTTCCTCTCACCTTGCTGTGTGCGTAGACCACGGAGCCCAGCAGTTTCCAGGTGCCTCCGCGGCGGTCCATGCGCACCATGCGCAGGATCTGCAGGAAGCGCATGCTGCGCAGCGCCGACGTGGCGAAAATATTGCCCTGCGTGCCCGCGGCGATGACGGCCACCGAGGCGATGAAAACGATGAAATCTGAGGCAGCGGCAAAGCTCAGGGGGTGCGTGGGTTATCCCAAATCCCGCCGTTCCCCCATCCCCACCCCGTACCTATCACGCAGAAAGGTTTTCTGGCGAAGCGGAATCGGCCGCGCCAGCCGCGGTAGCGGCAGCAGCAGCCGGCGGCCCACACGCGGATGATGTACTCCATACCGAACACCACGATCATCACGAATTCCTGGAGGGGAAAAAAGGAGGTGAGAGGGGCAGGGAGAGTGGAAGGGTGTTGGGAAGGATGAGAATTTACTGGGGGAGTTTTGCAGATGTCCAGAAGGTTCTGTAGGAATGAAAGCGAGTTTTGATACAGAAGAAAAGAATTGCTGGGCCAGTGTGGCTGGGTAACTGGAAGGCAAAGAGCAAAGTGAGGTGCAAGGGAATTTTATGGCTTAGAGCAAAGGATAAACCCACCTCAAACAAAAGATGTTTTTACCAAACAAAAGCATTTTCAAACAAGGAAAGCAAATGCTGCAGGTGGAGAAAAGATCTCAGAAATTTCCACTGCAGAGCAAGTCCCAAAGTTGAACATGTGGCTACTAACTCTGCTGATTGGCTAGTCACTGCCAGCACGTGGGAATTTGGGCAGTTTGGGTGGGCTGTGTGTAAATGTCAAAGGTTTTGTGTGTGATGCTGATTGGTTTCATGTATTAGGATGCTCTGGAATGAAAAGTTTCTAATGCACTGTGAGCAGAACTAGAGGGGCTCCAGGACACACAGCTTGGCCACAGCCAGCAGCTCTGGGCTCACCCACGGCCCCCAACTGCTGCAACCTCCTCTGTGCAATAAATGACATTTTAGGAGCCGGCTGAAGCCTCAGTCTCTCCGTCAGGCTCTTACAGAAGGGCTCAGATTTGAGAGGGGCAAAGTGAAAGCGGGATGAGCTCGGCGCGTGGTGTCCCCCCCAAATCCACCGGAGCCGCCCCGGGGGGATCGGGAGCCGTCGGGGCTGGTTGGGAATCGCTGCTCCGCTCCTCGCCCCGAGCTGGGTCCTTTTCCTCCGCCGTCAGCATTGTCCTCCTATCTCTCGCACAAACAAGCCCCCGTTCTGCTTACTCGCAGCAAAAGTCACAAGGACCTTCCCAATTTAGTCTCCATCACTCGGGAGAAGTCCCTGCGTCAGCTCTTTCTGACAGTTTGGGGGAAAGTTGCCTTTTTTAGCCCCTCGTGCCCTGCCTTTTCCAGCGGTTGCTGCCTCTCCCCGTGGCACGGGGGGACAAAGGTGGGACGGGCCACCCCGAGCCGCGGTGACACCCACGGCCAGGCCACCCCCGGATGCCATCGCATGGGCAGCGACATCCCGGCTGGTGATGAGGTCACGGCGGTTCTGCCCGCGATCTTTTAGGATGTAAAGCGGGGACAGGAACTCCGAGCGCCAGCCCTGCTCCAGCACCACTCACCAGGATGAAGAGGCACTCGTTCGCCAATTTCTGGTGCTCCTGGATGGTGGAGAAGACCGACAGCACCAGGCAGCTGAAGACGAGGAGGAATCTGGAAGGACAAAGTGTCAGTGGGGGCGCAGGGACACAGCCAGGGGACCCCAACCCCCACTCACAGCCTGGACCCTCCCCAGTCAGGACCTCCACAGGTCGTGGCCCTGGGGACACATTTTGCCCCTAGATGGTGGCATGGAGCCTTCGGGGAGCCCGGGAGCTGCCGTGGGGCTCGCTGCCAGCTCTGCCGCAGCCCTGCAGCTTCTTAATGAAAGGCAGGGAGGGTCCCGCGCTGTGGAGGGCTCCAGAGCTCCTCAGGACTGTCCCCAGCATCACTGTCACCGTGGGGACCTGCCAGCAACACCTGGGAAGTGTCAAGGCACGGGAAAAGTCCCCAGGAACAGCTCTGAGGCCGCTCCTCCCCGAGCGCTGGGCTCAGCCACGAGGGGCTTTGGCCCATTTAAGATAAGGAAGGGAATAAAAAATTAGGAAAAAAAAAAAAAGAAAAAAAAAAAAGAAAAAAAAAAGAAAAAAAGAAAGTCGACTCTGAAGCTGAAGCAAATGAAACCTCCAAAAATACATTTTTTTTCCCCTGATCCAGCGATTCTAAAAAAGGAAAGCGGAGGGCTCGTGCCACCGGCCCACGTGACGGCGAGCCAAGGGCCACTCACTGCTCCGTGATGTCACCTCGGCTCCGTGGTGGCACCGGGGGCTCCGGGCACAGCACGCTGGGTGGCACCGGCACGGCCGGGCTGAGCCCTGGTGGCCCTGGCACCTTGTCCTCGAGCTGGTGGCACCATCCCACCCCCAGCTCATGGTGACAACGCCCAGGGGCCATCAGGGGTGATCCCGGGGGTGATCCTGGGGGTGTGGGGGGCTCAGTGCCCGCTCGGGGACACGTTCCCATCTCTTTGTGTCGTCGATGTGGAATTTTCACTCAGAACCAGCTGCCGGGGCCATGGGAGGGGTGAAACCTGTCCCAGCTGTCCCGATTGTCCCAGCAGGGACACAGCACAGAGGGGACGATGCTCTGTCCCTCAGTGGGACCATCCAGGACTCTCCCCACTGACCCCACAGCCCCGGCTCTCAAACCCGGCCCTGGCATGAGGGGAATGAGGGTGGCACAGCCTAAAGGGGACAAAATTTCCCTCAAAATGCTGCTGGAGGACAAGCAAAAAAATCCCTGGGAATGGGAGAAGGGCTGGATGCGGAGATGGAGGAGGGAGAGCTGGAGCCAGGAAGGGGCCAGGGGTGTCACAGCCGTGTCACCATCGTGCCCTCGCCGCAGAGGACGCGGCTCTGCCGGGCACTCCCCACCCGCAAGGCAGAAGGTTGGATGGAGCCGGCTCCTTCTCCCTCTGAATTATTAATTGGGGTTTTTTTTCCTCCGGCGCAGCAGTTCTGGAATTAACCCCCAGTGGGAACAGCGGCACCCCCGTGGCACGGGAAAGGAGAGGAGCAAAACCCGGCCCAGGGCAGAGCTCGGAGCTTTGTGCATCATCAGCGATAAAAGATGATCCAAGCGGGATTTAGGAGGCAATTACACGGGCAGCGGAGCACAAAGCAGACGAGAAGGCAGAAATCTCCCAGCCTGCAAAGATTTGTGCCCCTCGCCTCATCCAGCCAGCAGGGAGGGGGGTCCCCGGGGCTTGGGGACCTGCTGTGGGTGGCCCTGGCTCTGGAGTCACTCACCGTGATGGAAACCCGCTCTCCCTGCGGGGTGAGGAAACCTCCGAGCCGGCATCCCGTAGGATTTGGGGAAGGATACGGGCATGAGAGGCCCCGAGGGGCTGGAACTTTCTGGGAACACATCACCTGCTAGGAATTAACTTGTAAAGCCTTGGGCAAACTCCCCGGCCCGGCTGCCGGCGGCGCTTAAGCGGCTTAGGGAAGGGTCAGATGCCTGGAGGCAGCGAGGGGAGCCAGGAACCAACATCCCCCCATCCCTCCCGGGCAGGAATTCTGCTCTCAGCGGCTTTACCAAGCACCCAGCGCGGTGTTCCACCCTCAATCATCCATCAGACACCCCTGGGGAGCGTCTCCCATCCCAATTCGCCCATTCCCACCCGCCAAGAGGAGCTGAAAAACCGAGGAATGCTGGCGGGGAATTGGGGAGGGGGCAGAGAGTGGGACAGGAGCTTCAGGGTTTCCTCACAGGATCCCGGGGGATGGAGGGAGCAGAGGCTGAGCCGGTGCTTCTCCTCTCCCGAATAAAATTCCCATTCCCAGCCCCCTTCCTCGGGGTCCCCCCCCCGCTTTTTCCAGCACATGGACACGGGGACAGGACCCAGCAGGAGCAGAGCCCGAACCCAGCAGTAATGAAACCTCCCCAAAACAATAATGAAAACTCGGCGGGGAAGGCGAAATCTCCTCAATTAATCTTCATTAGGGTGGGCTTTGCCATCTGCTGCCGCCCGAGCCGCCCGAGGAACAGGTGAGCCGGGAAAGCTGCTGAGCTCAGGGGAAGCAGGGCCAAGTCTGGATCCATCCCTGGATGGGCAGGCGGGCACCAGTTGGCTCCCAGTGCCCCCCAAGCACCCCTGGGCAAAGAGGCTGCACCCCAAAACAACCTGGGACGAGCTGAGGGACCGGGATCCCCCGAGATCGCGGGACGGGATGGGGATGGAACAGCCCAGCCCTCCCAGGAATTGTCCCCGAACTCCAGGGACTGGCACGGGGGTGACCCCGGCACTGGCAGGGTTATCCCGGTTCTACTTTTCCCGAAACTCCGGGGTTTGCATCGGGGTCACCCCAGCACTGTCAGGGTTGTCCCGGTCCCCGCTTTGCACGAATCCCGGGACAGGCGAGGAGGTGACATCAGCATTGTCGGGGTTGTCCCTGTCCCGCTTTTCCCGAACTCCCGGGACTGGCACAGGGGTGACCCCGGCACTGTCAGGGTTGTCCCTGTCCCGCTTTTCCGGAACCCCGGGACTGGCACGGGGGTGACCCCGGCACTGTCAGCGCTGTCCCGGTCCCGCTTTGCCCTCGCCCCCCGGGGATGCCCCGGGCCGGGGCACGGGCGGTGCCAGCGATAACTCAGCGGAAGGAAAACACCACGCGCCGCAGGATAAACAGCTCAGCCGTGGGACGGGCGAACCAAACGAGCTCTGAGAATGCACGGATCCCTTCCCTGGCCGTACCCTCCAGCTGTGCCACCGCTGGAAATTTGAGATTTGGACCAAAACTGCCGGAGCGAGGCTCCAGCCGGGATGGCGATGGTGTTTCACCCTCCAGGCTCCCCATGCCGCGAGGTTCGCTCCGTCTGCAGCTGTATAAACAGCGTGTCCCATAAATCCCCGGCCCTCGGCCCCGCAGCCCTTCAGCAGAGGTGGAGCAGGGGATATAAATAACCGGGCTGTAGCTGTAGCGGGCCTGTTTGCACCCGTAACCATAGCACGGAGCGTCCCACGCTGCTCAGAGGAGAAGCAGAAAAGCTCCGAGTGTTTCCCCACGGGCAGGGAAAGCGCAGCCGGAGCCAGGAGCCGGCAGAGGCACCGCGAAGCCGGGCACACGCTCAGAGGCCGGTCCTGACCCGGCTATCAGCGCTGCGGGAAGCACGGGGCTGCTCCCAGAACCTTCCAGCCCCAGCGGGGAGGGAGCACGGGATGTTCCCAGCAGCCTGAGGAAAGCTGGAAGCAAAGCTGGGATGCAGAACCCTCGGGGTGACACGCAGTGACACCCCACGGAGCACGCCAGCACCCAAAAATCTTGATGCTTTGGGAGGCAAATCTTGCTGGTGGCACCCCCCTGGCACCCAGCACCCCCCGGGAGGGCCGTGCCCACGGGGAGCACGGTCACAAGGCTCCCGCGGCCGCTGCCAAGACGCTCACACGGAGCAGCCGGGATAGTTTTGCTCTTGGATCATCTGGCAAGGAATGGGCCGGAGGGGGGGAAAGAACAGGAATGTTTCCCGACGCACCCCAGCACACAGATCGGGGCTGTCACCCTCCTCCAGCACCTTTGGGGTCTGCAGGACACGGGGACATTTGGGGCACAGGGATGTGGGTGGCCCCAAAGCTGGGGAGGTTTGGGATCGCTGCCGGGGGGGAAAAAGAACCAAAAACTCTCCCTGCACCCCACTGGGGCACCCAAACTGGCACCTCCTGCCTGGGGGGGGTCCATCAGGAGCGGAAAGAAGGAAAAAGGAAAAAAAAAAACAGAATTAAAAAAAAAAAAAAATCAATGCACCGTTTCATGTTGCGCCGAAGTCGCTTAATTTTATGCCTTGGTGACACCACATCGGGCAGGGGAAAATGCTGTGCCGGCTTCTCCTCCCGCTGGCATTGCCCCTGGAGCAGCTCCCGTTTCAGCCCCAGGCAAGGCACAGCCCCTGCTCGAAGGGCACAGCCTCCGGTCCCTCTGGTTGTGGCCCACCGGGGGACACACGGCTGACAGCGAGTTAAAAACCTTCAAGGAGCTCAATTCAAAGAGGTGGAAGAGCTGGGAGTTAAAGTCGAGAGTTTAAGAGTTAAATTCAAGAGGTTTTTTTTCCCAAGCAGGCGGTGGAGTCAGCACTGAGCAGGGATGGAGGGATTTTCCTGCAGCCCATCCAAGGCTCCAGGCCTAGGAATTGCCCTGGGGGTGTTGGCAGGGGCTGGCACTGCCAGCATGGCAGGGAAATGTTTTCTGGCTCTCCAAGCAGCTGTGACAAGGCAGGGGAGTGGCAGGGGTGACAGTCCCATCCTGACACGAGCCAGGCACTGGGATGCTCCAGGAGGGCTGAGCTGTCACCCCCCTGTCCCTGGCGCTGTCACCCCCGGTCCCTGGCACTGTCACCCCCCGTCCCTGGCCGGATGGGGACACATCCCACCGCCAGAGTCCCAAGCCAGCCGGGATTTCCCACTGGAGGCCAATCCTGAGTAAGGAGAGCCCGTGCCTGGCATCCCTGTCCCGGTGCCACCCTGGGACTCTGCCGGGAGCTGCCACCCCTCTGTCCCCACAACGACACCAAAAACCCAACAGGGACAAGGCTCGCGTCCCCTCCCTGCCTCAGGGAAATTCCTCTCGCGCATTTTTGTTGGGAAAACCAACCCCAACAGCAGCGGGCCGGGAGCTCGGCCTGGCACGGGGGACGCTGCTCCAGGCGGGGAATTGCGGCTGTTCCTGGTGCTGCTGGCTCAGTCTTCCCTAATTTGCTCCAGGTTAAACTGCTCTGGATGGAAATGTTCCTCCAGGAGCAGGAAAAGTGCTGAGCTGAGCTCACGGCGCACCCAGCAGCCGTTTCATAACCACCGGCACCGCTGGGGTGGGCAGGGACAAACCACAGTGGGGAAAAGCTGGAATTGGGCACGTGGAAAAGCTCATGGAGCAGCTCCAGGATTGCAGGAACCCCCTGGCAGGGCAGCCCCTGCCCGCGGGACACGCAGCCGTGCCCGTGCCGAGCCCGCAGCAGCTTTGCCGGGAGCAGGGAAGAGCCTTCCCGCCGGCTGACGAGGAGGAGATTGGAAAAAGGAATTTCTTATTTTGCCTCCTGGCCCTAAAGCCTCTCGTTTAATGCCCTGGGCTCCCTCCTGGATTTGCTCCGTAAGCTGCAGGGCTGGGAATTCTCATTCCAAGCCGGCTTGGTGAGGCTCGTGGTCAGCGTGGGGCTGGAGGGGCTGGGGAGACCTCGGAACCTCGGATTTCCACCTGCACGGGCTCCCATGTCCTCACCATCCCCTTCCCGGAGCATCGGGAGCCTTTGGGGACATCCACCAGACCCCAAAAGTGGCTCCGAGCCCTCCCGGCCCCAGCAGGCTCGGGGGGAGCTGCAGAAATGATGCAGCCACCAAATCACCGAGCCGGGAGCAGGAGCCGGGATAAGATTTGGGATCAATTCGCCGACAGAAAGAGGCTGAAGCTGGTCAATAAAACACGATGGGCTCGGCCCCGCTCCGCGGCTCGGGGAGGGAAGCGCGTCACTTCTCAGCGGGTATTTCCATTTTAGCATTTTTCAGCCCTGTCTCGGAGCCAGCCCGCTCGGGGGAGGCAGCGCAGCCGGGGCTCAGGGGACCGGTCCCGGTCACCAGCGCTGCCCCGACCTCGGCCCGGGGGCTCCGTGTCCTCCCATGCCTCGGGGGGATGTGGGGAAGGGGTAACACTTTCCTCCTCTTTTGTTAAAAACCCCGAGATTGCGGCACACAAATCATCCCCGACAACTTCAGAGCCGCTGCAACAGCTTCGCAGCTCCCATCTGCTGCGAGAGAGAGAGAGAGAGAGAAAAAAAAAAAACCCAACAAAAAAACTTGGAAGAAGCCAGAAATGAGCAACATTACGAGAGAGGCTTCACAGAACAGATGTCCGCACCTTGCACCCACTGCGGCGTCTTCCCACAGGATTCGGGGGGTCCCTGGCAGGACTCTGCCCTGCAGCTGCCTCAGCCCTAAAATTAAGCGAGCAAGTGAACAAAAAGCTTCCCCAGCAGAGGCTGGAGACGTTTGGCTCCTGCTGCCGGCGGCTGCACATCTTGTGGAACAAAGCCCAGCACCCAGAGCTGCGGGCCAGGCACGCTGCGGTGGCACTGGGGGGGCTTGGGGGGGTCTCTGCAAATGGGGCCGCTTGTCCCGCGTGTTGTTTTGGGGGTAAAACAAAGCTCAAATTGGGAGGGAGAGCTGGTGGAGGGAGCTCAGGGATGGATATCCCAGCTGGGAGATGAGCAGGGGCACATCTCTGCCACATCCCATGGGTGTCTGTGCCATAAATCCCCGCTGCCTCCCCTGGCAGGGGGTTTGGCTGCCTTTCCCTGCAGGAGAAGCTTTTCCCAGGGTGGGATTTTCCACGCAGGGATTCTGGCTGTGGAGGTGTGATTCCAAATGGGTCCTGGGCTCGTGTCCCGGCTCCCTGGGGAGCTCAGGTGCCCTTTCATCCAGTGACAAATTCCTGCTGCCAGCTCGATGTGCTAACTTAGGCAAGACCCATTTTCCTGCCTCTTAACGAGCTCCGGCTCCCGCACCCCAGAAACGACGCAGCCCCGCGGCACCGCTCCAGGCGAGAGGGAAAGAGGCAAAATTTTGGCTGATGCCCTCACAGAAGGTCTGTGCCCACAGCTGGCACACGCGAGGCAAAGAGGGGCAACCCGTCCTGCCCCACGGGTGTGGCTGCGATGTCCCAGCAGTGTCCCCAGCAGTGCCACCAGGTCCTGGCTTGGCACAACCCCCCAGAACGGAGCTCCCTCTGTCCCTGCAGCCTCCAGGTGTGTTGGGGACCCCCCCAGAAGCTGTTCTGAGCCCTGAGCTGAGCCCGCATGCCAAGAGCCGTGGGATGCTCAGATCCAGCGAGGGAAGGTGGAGCAGCACCTCAGAGCTTAGGAAAGCACACGGAGCAGGGGAAGGAGCAGGGGAAGGAGCAGGTGCATCCCTCCGGCTCTGGAGAGCGATTTGCAGCGATGAGAACGGACGGTGACCCAGGAATGGGCGCGGCTCTCGGGGTACAGCAGAGGGGTACGCACAAAATCACCCCCGCTGTCCCCATCCCAGCCGGACACGGCTCCGGGGTGGCACTTCTGCCTTGTCCCAGCACTGTCACAGCTACAGGACAGCAGAGGGTCCCGGGTGCCACCCAGACCTGTCACCTCTCGCGGGTCCCCTGCCTTTAAGGGTCCTCCCACGCTCAGAGGTCCCGGCAGAGCGGGACGGTGACGCGGCTCCCTGCGGGGCTCTGGGCCACCCCGGCGATTGAGTCCCACCCTCGGGGACACTCCCAGCTCCTCGCCCCGGACCCTCTGCCACGGACCCGCCTCGGGACTCGCTCCCCTCCCGGTAGCGGATCCCGACACCGGCACCGGCGCGTCCCCCCCCGCCGAACCGGGACAAACTTCCCGGTGGAGCCCGGCGACGTTCCCGGTACCCCCGGTGCTCCTTCGCCCGCTCCCCGCCGGGCCTGGGGCAGGCCTGGGGGGTCTGCCCGGTACTCACATGAAGACGTGGTAGATGAAAGCCCAGCCCCGGGGCCGTTCCAGCACGTTGTACAGGCAGTTCTGGAGGCGGCGGCGGCAGCAGCGCGGGGCCCCGGCGGGGCGGGGGGCGGCTCCGGGGCGCGGCCCCGCCAGCAGCCCCCGGCGGCGGGGCGGGGGTGGCGGCGGGGGGGGAGTCCCGTTACCGGCACCGGGGGTCCCCTCCGAGCCCTCGGTCCGCACCGCCGTCAGCGCCGCCCGCCGCTCCCCGCCCGCCGCCGCCGCCCCGGCCATGGCCGCCCCGCTCAGGCCGCCGCCCGCCGCATGGCCCCGGTCACCGCGGGACCCCCGAGCCAGCCCGGGGCTGCTCCCGGGGCCACCTGCCTTTAGCTGCCCGCAGCCGCAGCCCGGCCCTCCCCCGCCGCCGGCCCGGCCCGCCCCGCCGTACCTGGCCCCCGCCCCCGGGGCTCCGCGGGACGGGGCGGGCGGGGAAAGCGCCGTGGGGGGCGGGGGTGGAGGGGGTGGAG